CATTTCACCCACAGGAGTTAAGTTTTATACCCTTGGAAAGGCATGCCAAGCTGGTTTCCCCAAAGAAGAGTGTGATGATGGCCGTACGAACAAAAAACCTCGTACAAACAAGAAGGGATCAGCCAAGAAGTGAAACCAATGGTATAGCTTGCACCTGCATAGTTTGGAGATATATTATTTCTGACTTGTTTTCGTGGCTGCTCCTGTTTCTGCTGAGACCTGCTATTTTCTCCAGCTGGGGTGTTGCAGTCCTTCCCTCTTAGTACTTGGTCCCAATATGTTCCAATAAAATTGTTGATAGCAAAAAAAATACTCTTATTGTATGTTTACTTACTAAGTCAATGGGGGTGCGGCTGTGCAAGTTGGGTGGTTCACATGTGAAATCCGTGTGACCTGAACCTGGGGATTTGAGATGTCTACAGACAAAAAGAAAATATGCACCCATGCTTGGCAGCGATGCTTGTGAGGAACACGAGAACTGCACCATGCATGATGCTGAACAGTGATATGTGGTGTCCGAGAGCTCGGCTCAGCTGACTGCTGACATCCTCTAGTGAAGTAGGAAGCCTCATACCAGTGACAAATTGTTAATCAGAGATCAATCACAAACTAAACAGGTTCCTGGTATGAGAGCTTCCAATATCCTTACCGTTCTCCTGTGCCTTTCCCAGCTACCCGTGCCTTCTGAACCGATTGATTTTGTTACTTGATCCAATATGTTTTTTTTTGTTTGTGTTGGTACAATGGTGCCCTGTACTCTGTGCTAAGCAGGTGTTAGGTGATAAAGGTGTTTGTTGCCCAAGTTCAATTGGTATGCCAGCCATGGTGATTTGCACTTACCATTAAGTTGGTCACAACAGGGTTAGTTGGGAGCTATATCTTAAATAATTATAAGGGATATCCAACATGTTTTTTGTTTGTGTTGGTACAATGGTGCCCTGTACTCTTTAAGTAGGTGGTAGGTGATCAAAGTGTTTGTTGCCCAAGTTCAATTGGTATGCCATGGTGATTTACACGTACCATTAAGTTGGTCACAACAGGGTTAGTTGGGAGCTATATCTTAAATAATTATAAGGAATAGTATACGATATTATTCAGTCCATTGTTTTTGTTGATGTCTTTTGAGCAATGAACATCGTTCACAACTGGCTATGAGAAACAATTAATCTCTCGACCAGGTGAAGTATGCTCGGGCTGCGCACAACTGAGCAAAGCTATGCGCATGACTGGCTATAATGGAAAGTCCTTTGATGCTTCTTGGCTGAAAATGGAAATTAATGGAAATTATATGATCTTACTGATTCAAGGAAACCATGGTGGTCGAAATACTGATATGTGAAGTAATGTGTTTTGAGATATGCGCATGCATAAGTGCATGTATGTTCATATGTCATGAGACCTTAACCTAGCATGTTTTACGAAATGTTTTTTTTTGTGAGTCGAGGTGGCCTATTCGTCCAACCACAACCTGATGAGAACCATTGGGTTTATCACAGTACTCGCCGCAGTTGCTAGGCTGAAGCTTCAGTCTTTTGGCTAGCCATAGTTTAGATTCTGCTCACAACACAACCATAATCAAGATTTCACTGGCAACCCAACCATAGTTAAGTTTAGATTCTACTAGAACCATAGTTTAGATTCAAAACTACCAAACCATAGTTTTAGATTCCACTTGCAAACCCACTATAGTTTAGATTCAACTACCATAGTTTAGATTCCACTTGCTACCCAACCATATTAGATTATATTGTTTGGATTCTACTGGCAACCCAACCATAGTTTAGATTCTACTGGCAACCCAACCATAGTTTAGATTCCAATACCAAACCATAGTCTAGATTACACTTGCAACTCGGATCCACCATAGTTTAGATTCAACTACCATAGATTAGATTCCACTTGAGACCCAGCAATAGTTTAGATTCTTCTGTTTAGATTCTTCTTGCAACCCAACCACAGTTTAGATTTTACTTGCTACCCAGCCAAACTTTAGATTCCACTGGCAACCCAACCATAGTTCAGATTCTACTGGCAACCCAACCATAGTTTAGATTCTACTACCAAACCATAGTCTAGATTCCATTTGCAACCCCACCATACTTTAGATCCTACTACCCATAGTTTAGATTCCATCACAACCCAACTTATTTCACTTGCCCAGGTATGGAACACACGCCCTGGTGGAGTCCTTGTCTTTGCACCTCCGTGTAGCAGCTGGGTATTCCTGTCACGATCGGTGACAGAAAGGTCGTGGAGCTCACCCCAAGGGAACGAGGAACGGCGGTCAGTGAAATTGGCCAACATTTTTGTACTTCGTATGTTATACATGTTGCCTGGCATTAAATACTGATTGGAATCCAATTTTTGAAGTCATTCAAAATCATGCGCACATCCGTTAATTGCCTCCCATGTGCAACTGAGATTGTATTACGCAGTGAAGCGGAATGTGCGGATCCTTGTAGAACAACCTGCATCCAGTGCTCCTAATCTGAAATTATGCTAACATCATCGTTGGAAATCTATAATGGATAGTGGTCAACCAAGGTTCTGTGGCATTGGCGTCCATTTCAAAAATTCCTACTTTGGTGTGGTGCCAGGTGCTAAAGGGAAAACCATGTGTTTCTCTCTAGAAGCTTATGATGTTCATATGGGGGTTTTCATAAATGGGGATCCCCATGGGATGGTTTATAAGGGAAACTCCTACTAACATGGATGATTTGGGGTACCTATATTTTAGGAAACCATATCGATCCATATCTAGTTTGATATATCCAACATGCCCCCTTGAGGCGTGTTTCATTCCCAATGGGAGCCTTCGGGGCACCCACCATGAAGATGACAGTGACCCTAAGTGGCAATATTGATTTTCGTTTTATAATGTTCGAGCTCCAGTTACCTACCCACTTGCCACCTCATAGTCTCCAACTACACCCTGGAACTGCCACAGCTGGGCTGCTCAGGATATGGTCTACGTTGGACAACCTTGGCTCACTGCGGAGGCCGATCAGCTTGAAGCTTCTGAGGGAAGCTCTTGCCAGGACAGAAGAGTGTGTGTGTGTGGTCGTGGTATTATGTTTGACTTCAAATGTGGCACATGATTGTTGTTCAACTTACTTCCAGCTAATTTATGCACATTTGGGATTGCAACCCAACCAGAGAATATTGATTATGATTGCAACTATATAGGTTGCAACAGTGGAAATCAAATTTGAAAAAAATATATGTGAATTGATGGCCCCCATATGTGGCTTTTGGTTGATATAAATGTACTATTTAAAAGTGTTATGATCGGAAATCTATAATATAGAAATCGTGTATTGTAAAGAAACCCATATACCTGTGCCTCACCAACCCATGGGTTGCATCTTACAGGAGTCACCAGCCCACCCTGGTCAAGAAGACTATTAACAAACGCACTGGTGAAGCCCAGGTCACAGGGCAGAAAGGTGGCCTAGCTAAGTCTCACTGCAGTTCGGTCTAGCAGTGGCAGGGTTGGTGCGCCCTACTGGGTCCCCTTCTGCCAGCCCGGAGCTGGGTTGGGTTGGGCAACAATATTCAAATTGGTTCTCGGTGGGTATACACAATGGGTTCCCCTGTTTAACCTTGCCCTGACTCATGTGAAGATTGATTGGTATTTTGATGTATTTTGTATGCCCTGAAGGAGATTGAAGTTGCCGATTCTGATCCCAATGAATTTGATCATGGTGCTATCGATGATCTTATCAAAGGGCGCAAACATGCTGCATGGCGCTTCTTGTGACCAACCTACCTGTGCAGCACTTGAGTTAAAAAGGTAAAATATATCTCATGCAAGTGCAGGGTGTTTCTCATGGGATGTGTACTGTGACTTTGTGATTCGGATGTAGTGGTATGTGTTAATTGTGCAATAGTGAATTTGACTTGCATATCTTCCGTCAGTTCGATCCTAAATCAAATTGGGGTGAAAATGCAAATCCACATTTGTGATCAATCCTGCATAAGCTATTTCCTTGCTCTAAGCCTTTGGTATAGCTACCAAAGATGGATCGGAAAGATCCCAAGCCAACTCGATCTGAAGTGATAGAGCAATGGAGACGTTTTTTGGAAGGGATCGCAAACGAGCGTATCTGTCTAAGCTGTTGGGCCCCCCAGCTATGCAAATATCTGTCTGAGTTTTCTGACTGCATTAAGGTATGCAATTTGTACTGAATTGTTTTTAAGTCGGATTATGTGTGCCTTAAATGATGGTTTTGAATGATAACAACTGTGCAATGGCCTATTAGGACTGACTACAAGAACCTGCTCGCCATCAGCTTTGATTGCAGATGTGAGCTTGACGATTGAGTCTGGCAACTTAGTGATAATGGGGCAATTCATTGTACAATACTATACTCGATAATTCAAAAATCGAACCAGCAGTGATAACTGCTGATGTTTTGCTTGAGATGCCCACCCTCCACCTGAAAATGATCAGACTAGTCATGCTGAGTTGCCACGCATCGATATTTATCGAGATGGAGTTGCCTGTGCCAGGAATCATGGGGATCACAGGTGGTAAGGGATTTCGATTTACCTCGTCATTTTTAACATTTTTGGCTCCAAATGGTGCGTGTCAATGCGTGTCATTAGCGTGTCACTGGGCATTATCGAGACAATATCAAAGGGTCACTTAGCATTATCAAAGGGTCACTTAGCATTATCAAAGGGTCACTTAGCATTATCAAAGGGTCACTTAGCATATCAAAGGGTCACTTAGCATATCAAAGGGTCACTTAGGCCACTGCCCCGGACCGTGTCATTCGCGTGTCACCCCGGTGCCCATTTTGGGCAAAAAACCGAATTTCAGCAGTTCAGACTGGTGATTGTCCAGGACCATGGTTCCATCCAAATGGCATTTATCGATATGATATTGTTGCCAATCAGCTTGAGTTCGATTTTGTTTCAAAGATAAGCACAATTATATATAAAGCCTCAACTATGCTGCCACCCTGAGCAGGACCATCAACCAGAATAAGTACAGCATGGCAAAGACGGTAGGAGAAGTAAAGAAAAATAAGGTAAGAGCTGCTGAAAAGCCTGCAAAGAAGCCAGATAAAGCTGATACACCAGAACCTGCAAGTGACAGCACCAAGAAGAAGCCATCTCCAAAGAATGAAGAACCAAAGAATCAGAAGGATGTAGCCAGATCGTCCAAGGATGGAGCTGGAGAGAAGAAGAATGAGAAGACTTCAACAAAAGGCCCCAAAGAGGCAGCTGCTTCCAAGAAGGACACCCAGAAATCCCAGAACAAGCAAGATGAGAAGCCCAAGATGAAGAAAAATGACGAAGCCAGCAATAACACAAAAGACAAACCAGAGAAGGAGAAGACGAAGAAGGATGAGGACAACAAGAAAGGGAAGAATGTTCCCAAAGACACCGCAGCTGAGAAGACCGACACTTCAAAGGAAGCACCGAAGAGAGATGCAGAGAAGAAGAAGAAGGATGTAGCCAAGTCGTCCAAGGACGGAGCTGAAGATGAGAACACGGAGAAGAAGTCAAAGGACACCACCAAAGTGAAGGATAATTCCAAGAAGGGCACACAGAAGAAGCAAGATGAGGAGCCAAAGACTCAGAAGACTGACACTTCAAAGGAAGCACCGAAGAGAGATGCAGAGAAGAAGAAGAAGGATGTAGCCAAGTCGTCCAAGGACGGAGCTGAAGATGAGAACACGGAGAAGAAGTCAAAGGACACCACCAAAGTGAAGGATGATTCAAAGAAAGGCACACAGAAGAAGCAAGACGAGGAGCCAAAGACGCAGAAGACTGACACTTCAAAGGAAGCACCGAAGAGAGATGCAGAGAAGAAGAAGAAGGATGTAGCCAAGTCGTCCAAGGACGGAGCTGAAGATGAGAACACGGAGAAGAAGTCAAAGGACACCACCAAAGTGAAGGATGATTCCAAGAAGGGCACACAGAAGAATCAAGATGAGGAGCCAAAGAAGAAGACAACTGATGAAGCCAACAATGGCACAAAAGACAAACCAGAGAAGGAGAAGACGAAGAAGGATGAGGACAACAAGAAAGGGAAGGAGGTTCCCAAAGACACCGCAGCTGAGAAGACCGACACTTCAAAGGAAGCACCGAAGAGAGATGCAGAGAAGAAGAAGAAGGATGTAGCCAAGTCGTCCAAGGACGGAGCTGAAGATGAGAACACGGAGAAGAAGTCAAAGGACACCACCAAAGTGAAGAATGATTCCAAGAAGGACACACAGAAGAAGCAAGATGAGGAGCCAAAGACTCAGAAGACTGACACTTCAAAGGAAGCACCGAAGAGAGATGCAGAGAAGAAGAAGAAGGATGTAGCCAAGTCGTCCAAGGACGGAGCTGAAGATGAGAACACGGAGAAGAAGTCAAAGGACACCACCAAAGTGAAGGATGATTCCAAGAAGGACACACAGAAGAAGCAAGATGAGGAGCCAAAGACTCAGAAGACTGACACTTCAAAGGAAGCACCGAAGAGAGATGCAGAGAAGAAGAAGAAGGATGTAGCCAAGTCGTCCAAGGACGGAGCTGAAGATGAGAACACGGAGAAGAAGTCAAAGGACACCACCAAAGTGAAGGATGATTCCAAGAAGGACACACAGAAGAAGCAAGATGAGGAGCCAAAGACTCAGAAGACTGACACTTCAAAGGAAGCACCGAAGAGAGATGCAGAGAAGAAGAAGAAGGATGTAGCCAAGTCGTCCAAGGACGGAGCTGAAGATGAGAACACGGAGAAGAAGTCAAAGGACACCACCAAAGTGAAGGATGATTCAAAGAAAGGCACACAGAAGAAGCAAGACGAGGAGCCAAAGAAGAAGAAAGCCGATGAAGCCAAAGACGGCACAGAAAACAAGCCAGAGAGTAAAGCAAATAAAGACAAGGATAGTTCCAAGAGGGAAGCACAGGGTGAGCCTGGGACAAGCCATGTCACACCACCCAAAACTACCGCGATCAAAGCTGATGCCAACAGCCATGCTCTCACTCTTCTAGAGTCCAAAGACCCCTCAAACCGGAAGAGCCTCAGCAGCAATTCCACCACAGCTTCGTCTGATCCTGAGAGCAAGCGGCCAAAGGTGTCTACCCAGAGTCATGACAAGCGGGACCCAGAAGGCCCCACTGGGTCCACCCCTGAAAAGAAAAGGCTGAAATTTGAAAGCGAAAACGAGGCAGGATCACCTTGGTGCTGCCTAGTGTAATCGAGACATCATTGGTCTATAGTAACAAACCAACAATTGGAAATCCAATAGTCCCATGTATAGCCAAAACAAAAAATCTGCTCAGTTTGCTTCATTAAGATGTGGGGAGAGTATACCAAATCACCTCATAGACTCATATACCATCTCATTTGTGATTTGTCAGCTCTGCCAGGAGTTCATGCCAGCCCGAATGGAGAGCATGAGGACACTTCCAAGTTTTGACCTACTTGCTTCGCCAGCCTCTGTGGACACTTCAACCACTGAGGACTGCTGATCCTGCTGTGTGGCCTATGTCTACTGGGTTCTTTATAAGGGACCTATTTTACACAACTACAACAACCCAAGCGATCTCACATAGAGTACTGTTGAAAATGAAAATGGTGGGCAACGTATTATTTTATTATATTTTCCTCATTTCGATCAAACACCCCAGCCTAGGGTATAACTTACACTACCTAAGTCTGTTGGCGCAGGAATCTTCCTCGCAAAAGCCTGGAAATGCCCGGATGACAAAGCTTACTGAGGAGCAAAAGGAGAGCATCAGTGCAATGGCATCCCCGTCATGCATGGATAGTGCAGAGCGTAAGCGGCAGTATGCTGCCATGGGTCGTGCAATAACTAAGACCTGTAACCCAAGCCTTTTGGCAAAGTATCAGCTATGTTCTGACACCGAAAGGTGGGGTGTTGATCAAACAACTGTATAGCCATAGCTAACTATGCTTCGATGGTATACTTAACATATATTAACATATTATGCTTTAAACCCAATGTAGTTCTCAACCCCTCAGTAGGTGGACAATGCTGAAGCAATGGCTGGTGAACGATGGCAAGACCGACTCCATCACCGTTGAGGAGAAGTATGTGAAGTGGACGGAGGAGCTCCGTAGTGACAACTATGCTACAGTCCCTCTGCTGGAATCACAGGTTATAACGTGATTGATTGGACTTTTGGGGTAGATGTCCCCTGCATACATGGGGATGGGGACCATTGTTTTCACCATTGGTACTGTATGCTTTACCCAATGGTTACTACAGTATTTTCCCTTATCGTTTCTGCATGGTTTATCATTGTTATTGCATCCTTTCCAACTATAAGGTCACACTGCTACAGCTGGAACAGACCTATGGGACTTCGCCAGAGGCCAAGGAGTTCATACAAGAACTTACAAAGGGTGACTAGGCCCAATAAAGTGCATTTCAACTGCAGGTTCGAGAATTTACAGGAACAATGCCATACTTTTGGGTCCTGATCTTGGGATTGGTCCTCCTCATCAACATCATCATCCTCAACATTACCCACCCTCCTCAACATCATCATTCTCAACATCATCAACATCATCGTCATCATCATCGTCATCATCATCATCATCATCATCAATGTCAACATTATCATATTTACATGTTCCTACCACTCCCTCACACTGGTTGGGGTCTCTTGCTGTTTTTTTGAAGTGAATACCCATGATGTTTTGTCAACCAACCATTGCTCATGCCCATCGCTCAACAAGCTGGCTGCCGAGCCGCTAAGGGCAGACAGGCACAGCGCATCCCCAGGCGCTGGGATGTGCCAAGGCAAGAATGTACAAAGTCCTTCGCGAGGTCAGTGAGGAAGTGAAACAGGGACAGCGGGGTGAAAGTTCACTCTCTGTAGGTGGACGAGTGAGGAACCCTGAACTCAAGGCTGTCGTTGCACGACAGTTAGGTCAAGCACTTGGGTCACTAGAGGGAGCAGCACAACTAGACCTTAAGACTGGGCGCATCGCGTCCAAGAAGGTCAAAAAAGAAAAAACCCAAGAGCAATTGGCTTTGGATGAAGTCAAAAAGTTTAACTCCAAGCTACTTATTTTATGTTGGTTGTTCACATGATGCATCAGCTATATGTGAAATTTCAAATCATCAATTATCCTATTCACTGTTAGTGACTTTCCGACCTGAGGCTGAAGAAACTGAACAATGAGCTGCCCAAGGTCATTGACGAGATTAATGAGTTTAATGTCAGAAATTCCGGTGAGCTGGTACCTAGTCCCACCATTCACCAATCATTTCTTTCTTTTGTAGCTGGCACCACCCATGTATATACTTCTGCAGTGCAACCTAAGGTAAAAGCCCTGATCAAGCACATTGATGAAGTTCATGCTTTTCTGGAAATCACGATCCCCAAGACTACCACGCTCCTGTCAGAGATCAATGCTGATGAGTTCCATGAAACTAGGTTGATCTAGGTTGTATGTTTCCCTCATACCATTTCATTTACTTTTGATATATATATATATATAATATATATTTTTTTTTTAATGATCGAATGGATCGAGATAGCCAAACTGTTTTAGCTCATGAGTTCTCCTATGTCTTATCCCTAACAACCCGTATATTAGATGATATGTTATGCCAACCGCCTACAGCTAAGGACTTTGTGAACCGCCACAAGGCCGCCGTCAGTGTGATCGAATCGGACCTCCGTGATGCGAAGCGCCGGGTGAGCGCCGTGAAGGGGCCTCGTCCGAAGAAGGGTGTTGTCAAGAGTACGGCAGTTGAAGATGATGATCAAGATGGTGATCAAGATGATAATGTTAATGATGAGTCAGCTGGTGAGTCTGACTAGTTGATTAGTTTTGAAACATAAACCCATGAAATGTTTCTTGATGCTCTCAGATTCACCATTGAAAAATGGCACTGTAGAGGAGACCTATGGGAATGATGATCACGCGATCAATCAGCCTGAAAGGCATTGGGTTTAACATGTGTTTTCCGAAACTGTTTCAATGGCCAAATGTACTATAACAATATTTGCGATTGTTGCTCAAATGATCGATATGAAAACACATGCTTGGTACAGTGCTGTGAACAGCATCTGTTACTTTCGTCGGGACTAGCTGTTAGATGTGACCATTTGTCACCCTCGGCTGGTCCGTTTTGGGGGAACATGATCAACTCGATCGTGCCTTAAGTTTCTGAATGGGATCTAAGTTCCACTGGTTTAACCCATGATGGAGGTTGAAACCTGATGATTTGTCGATCAGGCGTGTGTGGAAAGGAGCCTATGTCGACACAATTAATGCAATGTGCTTTGAGAACACATTATACATTTAGCAAACTCTCACTTGCCTGTGACATTAAAGGGACCACTCAAGGGGAGTTGAGTGTTGCAGCAACACATGCTTGAATATGTGTCCAATGTTTCATTTACCATTCAATGGGGTTTCTCATTAACATTTCACATAGCATTTCTCTACACCCGAAAAAAATATGGTGAGCCACCAATGGACCATTGTTTCCTGCCATTCCCAACTGCCGTTCTCTCACACCTGCTGACACCATGGACGTCGTGGAGGAGTTCATTGAACTTGGTCGACAAGTTGCCTGGCTGCAAAGGTGGTGCTGGTGGTTAGCTTACTGTACCTTGGCCTTTGGATTTCAATACCACTCCTTAGGTTAGTGTGAGCACATTGATGAAGATGCTAGATGTGATCAAACGGAGATTTCCTCGAAGACTCTTACCGAACCTTGTCAAAATATGTTTATATATGTTTATTTTGTTTTTCAACAGGCGCACTAAACATAATAAATCCCTGTGATCCTGGAACATCATCCTAGGAGCAATATGCAAGATTTAGTTCGTACTCAATCTGGCACTGGACGAAATGGACCACGCAATTTTTGGAACTGGCTAGAGAGACAACCATGGCGGAAAATGCTTCCTCGTCTACTTGAGCACCCTGGCACATATGATATGTGTGTTGCAGTATGTTGCAATGTTATATATAGCATGACACATATTAGGCTTAAAGTGCCATCCATTGTGCCCTCTGAGGGTCAACACAGTCCTGGAAGACAAGTCGATGAAGGACCCGTTCTACATTGGCTCTTGGCACATTTTTTTGCCATCAGAGGTGTTGCTTGGCAATGGTTGGGCAGCAGGGTATTGCATGCAGGAGGGGTTGTGTGTGTGTGTTGGGTGGGAGTTGAAGCTTGGGTTTTGCTCAAGCACAAGGTTTGGGAGCATCTATCACTATGACAAGAAGTTGTTCGCTGAGCGTTTCCTGGGTCCACCTGGAGTTACTCGACTGAAATGTTTGGAAAGTAAATTCCTTTAGCAAGGATCAACACACATCAACCTACTGTTCAGTTTTGTTTTACTTTTTTGTTCGACAGATTTCGGCAGTAAGGCCATTGATGAGTTTTGGGAGCATCAGAAACATACCGAATGGTTTCAAAACCACCCTGTCCTACAAGACCCAGCTACCTGGCTAAACAAAGCATACATGTTCTGTGGTGAGACTTGGACTAAATGGTTTTAGAATTGGCATTAAGGACACAGACCTTTCTAGATGCGTTCCATTGGTATTTCACTGCGATGATGGAGAGGCCCACAGAAGAAGATCATTCATGATCAGCTCATTTGGGTCAGCAGTAGTCCACAAATCTCCTTGGGATTGTCGCTTTGTACTATACTGCACTGACAATGCGAAGAGCTGTGACAACACCTATGACACCTTGGACACATGGTTGGCATGGTCGTTTACTGAACTAGGTGCTGGACGTTTCTTGGAGCACTCTCCATGGGGGGAGGTGATGGGGCTACGGAAATCCAAAGCAGGAATGCCAATTGCTGATGGTTGGAAGGGTATACTGTTTGCACACAGGGGGGACGAGAAAGCTCTCGCCAAGAGCTTTCACGTGAAAACAACCTGGGTGAGTGAGGAGGTATGCTTTACTTGTCGAGCATCCCGGCGTTCAGATTCCGAGTTGCTGTACACAGGGTTTGGAAAAAACGCATTGCACCGAACAACCATGCTTAGCCTCTACGACTTTGTGACTGACCGGTGCAATTCCAACCCTTGGGTCAGAGTGCCTGGTTTTCACCCCTCAATGGTGACATATGACTGGCTCCATGTGCTGGATTTGTCGCTGATTCCAGATGCTTCGGCATCTGCAACAAGACTGCACATATTTTGTTTGGTACATAGTTTGTAATATATATCATATGGGTCAACACTTGTGCTTCCACCACTAGGCACTTATTGAAATTTGTGAACAAGGTGCAGATGTTTGGCCAGGTGCAATCCATGAGTCATATGCCATGTATTAATATGTATTATATTGTGCTATGCATTGCATACCCCAAGTTTATTTGGTTGCAACGTTTCTTATGGGCAGGTTCAAATATGGATGATCGCTTGCGAGCTGCCTATGTGGAATTCCGTGAGCTATGCAAACAGCACAAAATCAGTTTCCCAGCATGTTTTTTTTTTGTGTGTGTGTGTATGTCTCATGCACTGTGATCAGTGGTTATAAAAGTCTGTGAATCATTTGGTGGTCGAAAAACAATGCTCAGGAAACCGGGGACTATTTTATTGCATGTTCCTTGGGAGCAAGTATAATGCGCCATAAACATCAAGCATATATTAAAGCCATTGCTCTGGCCCACATGCAGGAAGCATCTGGTCAAAAATGCGCGGTCATATCCGACTATCGCTCAGAAACACTTCAATGGCGCTGACCTGACCTGAGCTTCTAGCATGGTGTCTTTACAGCTCAAGCAACAGATTGTGTGCAAAACATGTGTGCAACGAATTGGTTTTAAGGAATCGGGCATATTGGCCAAATGGTTGATGGGAGTCACCGTCGGTTTAGCAGCAAAAGAGCCTGACAATATGCATAGCCAGTATCATGGCATTTTTAAGTGCAGCAGCTGCAAGTGTATACATAGCACACATGTCAAGTGTTTTCCCATATATCGTTTGACCATCCCGAGGCTACGTGCAGCAGTGTTCGTCAACATGTGTGGTATGCGGGATGCAGTGACCCTACGTCAAGGACCTTTGCTGACTGATGCCAACAGGCAAAAGCTTGAGACTGCCAACTATCTGTTCCATAGCGCTCTCAACTGATTCTTGGCTTAGGTCCTAGGTGATTGCACCTGTTCATACATGATTAAATTCTTTGAACAGTTGTTTCTGGTGATGTTGGTATCTTTTTGGCACCAAGGGCTGGCCTCAGAGGCAATCTCCCAAAACAAACTTCTCTGGAAGTTGAGACCAAAGGCACACAAGTTTCCTAGTAGCACTAGTTTTGTAGAAGCTGTTTTTGGTGCTGCCACTTATGGGATTCAGGCTGGACCATATCGTTTATGATGTTTCTGCACGGATATCACCATTTTGGTGTTCGTGCTATGGGGACGAAGATATGGTGATTGGGCTGCACTGCTGTGTGCATACTGTTCACAGTCATGTGTGCATATGTGTTTGTTTTAATCCAACCTAGCACGCACTTGCATGGGCTGACCAGCTAAGGTGGGAAAAATAAAGTCTTCAGCGAGCAAATGTCACCCACGCTTGTTAGGGCGCCAGGTCTTACAACGCTATGCAAGTTTCGTAGCAGTTCGCTGGATGAGGCAAATGGAAGAGTGGTAGATGTGTGATGTTTTGATATGTTTTGATATGTTTATAGAAATGGTGCCAATGGGTGCTTACTACTTTATAATACTATCGACCTGTTTCCCACCACCATTCCAGCAGATGCTGGCCTCTGTGGACTTGCTGAGCAAGTTGACACACTCCACAATGGTCGCCAGTGCAAATGGCGGAGATGATGACAACGGAAGAACACCTATGTTGCATATATAGCCCCCAAAGGTCTTAACAACTTCTAACTTAAGTCACTTAAGTCACATTGATTAATGCTACATAGGTGTTCTTCCGTGGGAGGGATGGGACAGGTGGTTGGTTGATTCCTTTATTAACACCAAACAAATATCATAGATAGTCACATCTTAACTAACCCCATATATACTACTACCAAAGTGACAACTAACCCATACTAACCCCATATAACTATCATAGATAATCACATCTTAACTAACCCCATATACTACCTAAGTGACAACTAACCCCATATAACTATCATAGATAATCACATCTTAACTAACCCCATATACTACCTAAGTGACAACTAACCCCATATAACTATCATAGATAATCACATCTTAACTAACCCCATATACTACCTAAGTGACAACTAACCCCATATAACTGTTATAGATTATAATCACATCTTAACTACCATATAGTACCTAAGTGACCCTTTCCAGCTTCTCCTAAGTGACCCTTTGATAATTTTGATATTCAAGGGGCATAAGTGACCTATTTAAGAGCCTTTGATATCAAAATGCATATCGAGGTCACTTTGAAGAAGCTGGTATATATGTAGATAGATATAAATAGATTAAACACATAAATCCTAAAACCCTCACGAAGGAAACTGCGCGCACACCTTAAAGTCAAACCCGAAGCCAACTTTAAATTTTCAACCAACCTCAAATAAACCCTGAAACACATGCCAAATAAAGGGTTAACACAACCCAAAACAAACCCAAATCTAAATCTAAAATACAAAGGAATTTTCGACAAATTCTGAATCAAACCCTGAACCGATTTTAGATAAACTTTGCACCAACCTTAAGCCACTGACCCAACCCTGAATCAACCCTAAACCAAACTTAAAGAAAGCTTAAACACATCTTAAACTTATGACAATTTCAGCTAGCCACACGTTTGAATCCAAAAATATTTTCTTTTTCAATTTATTATCATTTTCATCATCACCAAAAACATCACAAAATCATCACCTACTTTGTCGAAACCGTATGAGATTATGGTTCCATCGTCACGGAATGTTCCCAAAACATGACTTTTAGCTTGTTGCAACAAACCTTGCCAGGGTCGCCAAGATCACTGTGGCAATCGCGCTGGTAATGGGGAAAACAAAATCAAAATGTGCTTCAAGTTCGAAAATAATTCAAAAAATCGGTCTTAATTCGAAAATATTTCGAAAATAATTTGAGACTTGTTTTTGGGATTCGAACATAATTCGAAAATCAATTGAGAACGCCTTTTCGGTTCGAAAATAATTCGAAAAAAAACGAAAACAACGAAAAAAAACTCGAGGCTTTTTGCAATTTTTGGATTTTGTCAAATTTGATTCAAAAACGAGAAAAACCGACAAGAATCGAAAACAAAAACGAAAAAAACAATCGAACAACGAAAAAACGAAAACAAATCGAAAATAGATCGAAAAAAAAAACAAAATCGAGTTTTTTTGCAACAATTTCTGGATCTTGCCTAATTTGACGCAATTTGATCATTTTTCCAGCTCCCAAAAAGGGCCGCAGAAGCTCTGGAGGCTGGGCGACCGTGATCTTTTTGTGAAAAATTCAATGATGATCCACATGAATACACAAAAACAGCTGTCCAAGCAGCCGAAGACTTTGAGATGATTTTGATGATAGCCAAAACGATGATAGCCAAAACATTGTCATGATCTTAAACCAAACACTAAGCACGCCAGAAATAACACCCGAAATATCCCGAAATAATGTTAAATGAGCATTACGCCAACATTAAATAAATGCAGAGTAAACCTTAAGCAAACACTAAGCCCACCCAAACTAAACCCTAAATCAATTTTAACTACAATTTCAAAGCGGCCTTGGAACACAACCCTAAACCAAATCTAAACAAAACCGTACACCAAACCTAAGCCAACCCTGAACATATCTTAAAAGATAAATAAATCCAAAATACCTTCACCCAAGCCGAAACAAATCCTACAGCAGCCTGAACACCATGCTATTTGAACCATTTTGAACCAACCCTAGAACTAAGCGGACTCCTAGCTAAACCGCAAACTAACCCTAAACAACATATTGCACCAACACCAAATTCACGCCAAACAAGCGCTACACAAACACCCTTTCTTAACCAACTTTAAACCGACCTGGAATAACTAACCGAACCCACGATACCGATACCTTTAACAAATCCCAAGCACACACCACAGCAGCCCCAACAACACTTCTAGCTGAACTAGCTCCAAAAATCTCTGATTCCGGCAGAAATAAGAGTTCCTAGCTCCAAAATGCTTGACTTACGATCAGTTTCTAGCTCCAAAATGCTGCAATTACCGTACAAGTGGTTCCGAAATGTTGCAAATACAGTCGAAATGACAGCTTCGAGGTTCAACATGCTGCAAATAGCGAGGGAATTGATGCGGCATTGAGGGGGAAAAATAAATCCCCGCGAAGGGGGGAAAAAATTCCCTGGCGCAAACCGGGCCCGTAAGATTTTGTCTAGCTTGGTGCATGTTGGCATATGTTGGTAGCGAATGGCACTTTGGACATTCACGTTGCTGCCTCGTGGAGCAGTATCGCTCAGTATCATAGTCTGGCAAAATGCTGTCCAGATCAGGTGATGATCCCAGGTTTCAGCGCAGAAAACTTTCCAGAGTGAATGGTGACAAGTGCGGAAGAAAATCCAAACTTTTTCCGTTTGGACTAAAAGACATTTGCTCACGGGCTTATGATGGGTTTTAGTTTCTTTTCAACTCCTTTCTTTGCGCGTTGATTCGCTGCAAATATCTGTTCATTCTGTCCGTTTGCTCAATGCTGCAGAAAGGTTAGAGCGGGGAGTCTTTTGCACTTACGGCACATGCCATGTGGTTTGCGCTCTGAGGACAAGACTCCCTTGGCTGAACTTCTGTCCAAAGACAAGGCGCCTTTCCAGGGATTGGAACAAATTACCAAATGTACAAAAGGTCACTGTGGTTTTCACAGGATGACTTTGCCTGGATTCATCACAGCAAACTCTGCCCTCCCAGACTCGTTCAGGCTTCACTTTGTTGAGCATCGTTTATCACTTGATTTCACTTGGCACTGCTTTGACATTTCACTATCATTTCACTATTTCAGTATTATTTCACTTCAGTTTCTTGTCAGGGCTGCTTCAGAAGCGTGGCAGTGCTGAGTGGTGAGCCCTGGAGCTTTGCCTGGGCGCAGCACTTCCGATGCAATGTGCAAGAGGGTCGTTTGGTGCTGCGCTTCGTGACTTGGATCATTGAGATGTGCTATGACTATTCTATGACTGCTATGAAGTTATTGATGAATATTAAATATTAATGAATATTAATGAATATTAATGAATATTAATGAATATTAATGAATATTAATACAAGTTAATGAATATTTGTGAATATTAATGAATATTAATGAATATTACTGAATCTTAATGAGTAATGAATATCAATGAATAGTAATGATGAATATTAATGAATATTAGTGAATATGAACGAACATTAATGAATATTAATGAGAGCAATAGTATGAGCATAGTAGAGATTAGTATATTAGAATGGGTTAGAAGATGAGATGCATATGATTATACAACATTCTGCATGTATACAGAGCTATCAGAGTCGATCACCATGGATCACCCTTCATGTTGTCGTCCAACTTCGAACCCGGCCAAAAACCCAGGCATAGAGCAACCTCGAAATTACCCGAAAAAATCCGAAAATGCTTTCAAGCAGTTCAAAGCAGGAGTTTAACTTTGTTTAACGAAGCCTTGGGATTTGTCAAGTACTTTATGGCACATATAGTCAGCACTCGTCAACACGGCAGCGTGGTTGGTAGAATCTGGTAGAATTAATGCGAAACAAACTACAAAATCTGGGGGGGGAAGTGCACTGTGGTCAGATTGCAGCAAACTTTGGTAGCTTTCTCTGTAGACTGAGATGGACCCATGTCGTGATTGAGGTAGAGGTTCATCCCCTTAAATATTCTGTGCATAAAGTCCAGGTCGAGCTTTTTATGCAGCGCAATTTCGTCGAACAGAGCACCAATGTTAGTGACCCAGATGCACCAGCCAAGGCCAGGCAAGTTTGCGCAGAACTAGGATGTCCTCGAGAGATTTCTAGAATTCAGATCAGTTCAGATGAGTTCAGACGAGTTCAGCATGTCAGCCGCTGCAAGAATTTGAAGAGCTGTGAAGTTGCCAGGTGTGCCTCAAAGGAAATCCACAGCTTCTGAAGCCGCTGGAACTTTGTAACCTCCGAGGCCGTCCAGTGCAGCTGAAGGCACGTTAGATCACGCGTTACATCAGCTTTCGGAGACAAACAAGATCAAAAAAGTAAAGACTTAGACTAGTAAAGGCATCAGCAGGTGCCGTCTTAAGATCTGAAGCTGTGCATGAAATCTTCAAAATCTTCAGAGCTCTCATTGCTCATGGTTTTTGGATGTTTTTGGCCTTCCTTTGATTGGATGCTTGTGAAGGTTGCCCCAACTGCAGTCGATATGGCCCAATGTGATGCTTTTTTGACGCTACCCAGTACGACTCTGACTGGCACGGAGTGGCTCGGAATTGGAACCGCTTGAAATCTATCGGTGAGGTTGGATCTATGGTATTTGTGCAAGGGAACCTAAAATGCAGACCAGTAGGACCGCTATTCTGCACAGGAAAAGATAATAGAATATCAGCATATATCAGCATGAAAAGTGTGACTCTTATCATTCTGGGCACTTGTGCAAGTGCCCTCCGGCAATTTTGGTTGTTTGCGTACTTGCTGGAATTGATTGACTGTTGGTGGGGATCGGGGTTTTATTTTTGCTGAACATGCACACGTGCTTGATTCACTTGATATTCTACGTATTCTACAACGCACGTTCCTCACATTCTGCTGCTTCTGTTCCTGTGTAAATTGATTTAATCATACTAAATCAACATTTGATGTACAGTGATGTACAGGATCTGTTTTAGTTTTGCCTTTGAATCCAAGGTTTTGGTTGCGAGAGTCCAGCTCGCTGGTGGAGATCCTTCCAAACAACAAAAGGTTTCTGCCTCGGTGATGGTCTTTGAATATATTGTAATTATATAGTGATTGTGGCTATGTTTGGCAAATGTGTTGAGGAGTATTTATATTCATATTGTATAATTCTTCCTATGTACAATATATTCATATTATGTCATATTGGTCATATTATTCATCAATTCATGATAATTATATGATGATATTTTGTTTGCGCATGACCAGAGTTCACTGAAAGCCAAACGCGCTGCGCTTGTGCATGCGCCAGCCTGAGGCCAAGACCTGTGATGGAAAACTTGGCGCTTCTCACTGGTGCCAAGCGTTTCACGCTTCGTAGCCTGCAGTCAAAGGCGGGATAGACTGGATATGACTGGATAGACTTTCTGTTGTAGGTGGACATGTCGTGAAATTTATTTTTGAATATTGCTTGGATCACTTGAGATCACTTGAGATCATACATGTTGAATCATGTGTGTACGGAGTCGGAGCTGGTACACATAGAACTTAACTGTCACGTGAGAGGTGATGTAAGGTGATCAAAGGATCAATCCACTGGATTTTACCTGTGTACCAAGGTGTCACATAATGTCACATAGCTAAGAAAACGAATGAAATCGGTGTCACGGTGCCAGGACGATGAGCTCAATCAGTTTGATGATTTCAACGAGAACGTGTTGGAAGCAGAGCGGGCCATCTTGGCGTTGAATCGTGCCGGCTTTGACGCCGTGGATGGCTCTTTGGACGACGGCATTGCAGGTGTGGGCGATTTGGAAGGCGCGACACTGGAGAAATGACATATATATAATTATATATATATTAATATATATATATATAATTATACACATATAATCTAGCAAGTGGATGAGCCCAAATCAATACACACGTGGCTTCCGTATGCCTCATGGCATGTTGACATTCTCGTGCCTCTGTTCTTAGTGTCCACTTTAAGTCAACCTGCAGGCTGTGAGGAATTCTATAATCCCAAAGACGGTTGGAAAGAAGGCTGGCGAGACGTTGCGCGAAGCTTGAAGTTGGCCAGGATACTTGGGTACTTGTCAAATCTTGTCAATGCCTTTGATATCCTTCGATCATCTTCGATCAACTTCATCTAAGACTGCAGTGTGCGATCAAGAACTTGTATAGACACCTGAGAAGCCACCAGTTTGTGTTCGTCCTTTCTCCATCACGGCACTGTATTGATCGCGGTATCGTGTTGTTCACCCGACCCAGGAAAGGTGAAAGCATCGGTGTGACGAAGCGTGAAAGACATAATGTTGAGGCTGAAGGGATCGGCCGAAGCTGACAGAGTTTGCAGCTGTGTGTGGACACCGTGGACTCCACATATCTCCACATTCTCAGATGCAAAGCATCCTTCCGAGTTTGATCCAATTTGATTCATCTGGATTCATCTTGATTCCTTGTGCAGGTGAGTGACGATATTGACGATGACTCAGAGGGTGATACCGGCGCCTTCGCTTGATGGATTTGGAGTGACCACGAGTAACCAAAATGCAAACCATCTTGTAAGCCAGAGAAATACACCGCCAAGTTGGTGGCAAAGTTATTTCTATCGAACATGATGCTTGTTGTGCATATATATAATATTCGTCATTGTTTGCAAGACTCTTGTTGAGATGTTGAGACATTATTCTACCATCAGCTCCTGGACCAGAGGTCAGACAGCAATCTCTGAAGAGGATTCAGAAGCAGAGGAATGAAGAGTTCAAACCAATGTTGGGTATGTCTTTGCAAACACGTTTGATATAATGTGAATTCATTTGATCATTTCTGCGCTTTAGACATCTTTGGAAATGAATCAAAGGCATTCAAAGGCTCCAAGGAGTAGCAACACAGTAGGGCCCTGGAGGCTGCGAGCCCAAGTCGAGATACACTTTGCTTGAGACTTGTCCTTGCAGGACACGGATAGCACAGAATCTGACTCTGCAGAAGATGAAGCCTAAAGTGCTGCATGCGAGATGCAAATGCTATTACGATGTTTGGCGATCTGTGTCCATCTGTGACAATTTGTGACGATCTGTGATCGGGCTTGAATCCTGAACTCATTGCAGTGGAGAACTTGCTTCACTAGCAAAATCGAGCTTCGGCTGTCGCTTGTTTGTGGACTCTGCACGTTGCTTTCACCCAATATCACCCAATCCATCCAGTACTGACAGTCAATCCATGTCAATCCTCAACATAAGATTTATTTGCTTGAACAGGCAGCACAGTCACTAGCGATGAAGCAGACCTTTGCGATGCCTGCGGTTGTTGCATTGAATGTGGAGGCAGAGGGTCCCCAGCTGCAAACACGTAGCGGAGAGATGCGGAGAGATGCGTGAATAGGAGAAGAATGAGTAATATTTTTTTAAAATGATTTTCATTGGAGACACGCAATTTTTAGATGCTTGCTCTATTGCAGCTACAGATCCAGCATATGCATATCGTATTCCTGACCATATCCAAAAATAACAACTGCCTAACATTATCACAAGAAAACTCAGAAAGATCGGATTTCTTGCGAACATCATACAAGACTGGTTTCTTTGTAATGGCGGGTCTTTCTTGCGACTGGCTTTGTGTAGACTGTAATGGCCGTAATGTTGAGGGGTAGGGGCATGTCTGGACCTAACAGAAGACTGCATTGGGAGGTTCCGAGATCGCCCAAAGAACTGGCATCACACGAAGGTTGGAATGGACGAACGAGACGGATGCACCTGAAAGAACATGAACACATTTTGGAACGCTGAAGCTACAGCTTAAATCCTGAGTGAAACTGGCACGCGCTAAGCACAACTGCACAAGATACATCCAGATACTGCATTACTAGCATTACTAAGAACAAATCGTGGCCGGATTTGGCTCGAGGTCAGTTTCCAGACAAAGTCCGTGCCTCAGCCTGGATGCAAGATATGCAAGGTCGATAGTCTGAAGGCTGACGTTTTGGGCGCTAGGTTGGCAGGACAGTCTTCGAAGCCCTGCGGGCTGGCACTACTTGGACTTCAGTTGTGAAGCGTTCGGCTGCTCAAAGTTTGGCTACCCGATTCCAGACCTTTCTAGACCACGTTCACTGCATATTCATTTCCTAACCTATCGCTGCAGAGTTGAACTTCAAGTGCTGAATCGCTGCCTTGCCAGGCCAGTCCCAATTCGCTCAGGGCGGCGACGTTGGAGGCGCAAAACGCTGGAATCATGAGATGAACAGTTTGTCAACTGAGATGAATCCTTGACGGTTTGACTAGTTTGACAGTTTGACCATGTTTGACCCGTCTTTTGCTCCTAGAGAGCTGTCACATTTTGCTGGCACATGCTAGCACCAACTTGTACAAGAACCGAATGCAAGCGAATGCAGCATGAATTGATTTGCAGCCTCGGATCGGGCCTCGGGCGAAGAACCACCTTGCATTCACGATTCTTTTACGATACTACGGAGTCCTATGCATCAGAGAGTCTGTGACGAAATCTTACACTAGCAGTTTTATGATCCTTCGATGGCTTTTTGATCTTTTTGCAACACGCAGTCCACTCTGCAAGATATCCACATATGTAGACGCCGGATGCAGAAAGGATATCAAGCATTGATAGAGTCTTTGCAACTCGGCAAACTGCTTTCTCCACGTACAGGACTGCAGACCGGTGAACAGTAAGATTTTTCCAGATATTTCCAGAGGAAAGTACCCTCACAAAGTACAAAGGTCAAAGGAGAAGACTGGGGTAGCATTTGGTAGCATCATTTCTATTCATTATATTTCATTTTTCTTGTCATGGCCGCAACATCAATTTTGCAATATTTTGCAAACTTGTACAGATCGTCAAATTCGTCCCTGGACGCAGCAAGTCATTCAGCACTCTTGAGCTTTGCAGCTCCAAAAACGAGAGAGAGAGAGAGAGAGACAGAGGGGGGAGAGAGAGACAGAGGAAGCCACATATTGTGCATTGAAGCAAACATTTCATTGCATTGCTAGATATATATCTATATATATATAATATACAATTATATATATATACATATATATATATATATATATATGATATATATATATATATAGATCCGTGGGGAGATGCCAAATGCGTAGTCGACTAAGAGCAAGCTGCCAAGCTAGCAGCGTGAGCTGGTCTTTAGGCGCCAGGGTGTCAGTCAAACATACATCCTATGAATTGCATGAAATCAGATTTACTGTTCGTGGATGTTGTTTTCGAACGATCCCATCCATTGTCAAAGCACTTATACCGAACAGGGTCACAGTTGGAGTGGATGCAGTACATCGAGCTGGGCTAGTGGGCAAGCAGTATGTCAACATACGTATTTTAATCAAATTCAAGCAGTATGTTACTCTGTTTTTTTCGATGTATTTTCAGCAGAAATGCTCCTGCATCCTCTTGCGAAACTATCTCGCTTGACGGGCTCCAGAGTAGAAGGCCACAGATTCTATGCAACCTCACTGCACACGAAGCAATGACACAGTCCAGATATGCAGCAAAACTCTGTAGGAAAAAGACAGAAAGGATCCAAAGGCTAGAAGCTGCGGAGTACGATGGATATCTACTCAGCATTTTCAGCATGCAGGAAGCTCGTATGGACTGGTTTGTAGGGGCACCTTGATTTACATGCCGTGCAAAATTTTAGCATCGCACAAAATAGCACACCCTGCTGTCGGCCATTGTCCGTAAGCAAGAGTGCCTAGAGCCATTTTCTCCGAGCAGTTTTGTCGCAGCAGCTCTGTGCGCATCTTAGTGAAGCAGATTGACACCATTGGACACTTCAACAATCCTCAAGAGAAAATACTTATAAGATCTTATAAGCAGTCTGATGTAGTGTGAGGACAAACAAATTTCAAAGTAGTACCCGCCCAGGCGTCAAAGATCATTCAATGCATTTCATTATTTTCATTGCGACTGCCGGAAAGATTCCTCATTTGGTTTCACTCTATGGATTGGAAGTCTTCTTGCCTCAGATGCGGCGACCAGCTCCTGTTGAGATTGCTCCGACCTACAGATGTTTGTTTGGAGCCAAATCGGACCACGATCGCGAGCAATGATGGCAGTTGTGTAAGAATTTTCTGCAGGATTTCTAGACAAACTTTGGAATACAGCGAAGAATGGGAAACAATTGACAGTATGTGCATTGGACAACATTCTACCATGCTTCAATGCATTGGACGAACTGGATAAATACTGGTGCAGACTTATACCGTACTCGTACGTACTCGTACTGTAGATACTCGTACATACTCAGACTATGTGCTTGTATTCTGCCGATGTACCAGACCATGCCGGACCTGTCCTGTTGTTGCCCTTTGTGTTGACTGCAGGTCTGCGCAGGATTGTGCTTTGACAGTGGAACATTTTGGCCGAAAGCCTCACGAGTCTTCAGCTCAGCGCTCCATCTGAGATGGCATTACTGCCTCACCGCTGATTTTCTGTTTCCAGCTGCAAAAGTCTCGGTGTTTGTGCACTATCTGCCCTATCTGCCCTGTCTGCCCAATCTGAAGCTCCCTCTCAGCTATCGCATGTTCAGGATCTGAGTGTTCAGTACTTTAGAACGAAGACCAAGACAGACCATATCCTGATCACTCGTGAGCTTTCGTAAGAATCCTCGCGTGTTAACATGTGCAATTTTACTCTCTCACATGTACTTATCGTTGACACATTGACATGCACATTATTTTTGCATGTGTTAGCGCCCCCACACATGCATAAACACGTCGATATATCCAATATATGGTAAATAGTAGATACCTGTACATACCCACCAGATAGTGCTTGGCCCGCGCCGGGGCGAAAGTTTTGAACATAAGAAATGGCTATAGGAAATCACTGGCCTATAATCTATAGGAACCTTTTTGAGATGCAGAAGCCATGAGCGGTTGAAGTTGCGAAGTGCATCAACGACTAAGGAAATGGCGGTCGAGATGCAAATGTATGAAAAAATCCGTGCACAACTGAATGAATGAATCAATGATTCAATGAACCGCTGAATCAATGAATCAGTGAATCAATAAATCAATGAACCAGGGAATCAATGCGTCAATGAATCAGTGAGGCAAATAACCAGTGAAGCAATGAACCAATGAATCAGTGGTTCAGTCAATGAAGCAATGAACCGATGAATCAATGAAACGCTGATTCAGTGAATCAGTTCGGTGATTCAGTGAATCAATGAACCAATGAGTCAATGCACGGGTGAACTAGTGAGCAGATGAATCGATGAATCAATGACTGAGTGAATGAGTGAGTCGATGAATCAACTAATCAATAAATCGGTGAACCAATGAACCAATGAACCAGGGAATCACTGATTCAGTGAGTCAATGAATCAATGAACCAATGAACCAATGAACCGATGAACCGATGAATGAGGGAATGGATGGATGGATGGATGGATGGATGGATGGATGGATGGATGATGGATGGATGGATGGATGGATGGAGGATGGATGGATGGATGGATGGATGGAGGATGGATGGATGGATGGATGGATGGACGGACGGACGGATGGATGGATGGATGGATGATGGATGGATGGATGGATGGATGGATGGATGGATGGATGGATGGATGGGCGAGCTACTTTTCTTTGTTGAGCTACTTCTTCACTGAGCGACCTCTTCGCTGAGGCACCTCTTCTCTCGGCTACTTCTTCTCTGAGCAGCCACTTATCTGGGCTACTTCTGCTCTGAGCTGCGTCCCAGCTAGCTTGTAGCTTCTTGAACCCAATTCTTCTCTTTGCGCCAGTGTTACCATGCGTGTAGCAACCTCCAGCGCAATCCCGCGTAACACAAGAGCAGCACTATGGTCAAGAACTACCTTTTGCCCAGCTGTCACAAGCTTTGCTGCGCGCGGCCGTACCAATACGTTTTGCCACACCCGGTTGCAAACCCGCATAGCAGGAGCGTCGCACCAAACCGACCACCGAGCAGCGCGGACTTTTCGCGCTGCTCCGAACGTGACCTTTTTTTTTGGGGTGAAATTGTGCACTCGCTACAGCATGGTGCACATTTTGCCGACTTCATCTTCCAAAAGTGTTCTGAACGCCTCATTCGTTTTTAATATTTCGAAGTGCAAATTGAGCTCTCGCTACTGTCCTGTGCAC